AAATAATCTAATTTTTTCAATATCGATAATTTTATAACTCTTTAAAAGTATATGAAAATAACCTTCTTTGATCTGACATTACGTCTATATATATATATATATATATATATATATATAATTCATTTGTTTAATTGCCAAAAAGTTTTTAAATAAAAATTAAATAAAGTTTTTTATATTACATTCTCAAATTAGTATACTGCGGAAAACATTAATAATCATAAAGTTAAAAATTATGTGACTTAAAAGGGCTTACAGAAATTTTTAATTTACAGTAACCTTAATAGGCATGTTTATTGATAATCACAGAAATAACATGATTGCTTATTATATTAATATTCAAAAGTAAATGATATGTCATAAAGTTAGATTTATGTACTATTAAATGAAAAATTACAGGTCAATGTATGAGATTAAATAGAATAATGAATATATATGAGAGCTTCGTTAAAATATAATCTTTTAAAATATAATCTTATAAAGATAGACAGTAAATTAGAGAAAAACGATGACAGAGAAATTGTTGTTAAAATAATGAATGTAGAAGCGCGCACGCGCGTGCCTGTGTGTGCGACTAAGAGAGAGAGAGAGAGAGAGAGAGAGAGAGAGAGAGTAGAAAATTTCATAGGCAGTAAGCGCTTTGAATTGGGTCAATCAATATAATGGACCCTTTTCCATGGAGCTTGGGTACGTCCACTACGAAACCTCCCTCCTCATATTTTTACCATAAGCTGTTATTGTAACTAAAATTTCATCGTGATTAACATACATCTACCTTTTATTGCCTATTAATTTAAACTATTGAAATCTAAATGAAAATAATATACCATATGAAAAATACAAATTTCTTTATTATAAATTATTATTTTAATATAATGAAAAATTAAAAAAAAAAAAAAACTATTAATCGATTGTTTGTTTTTTTTTTTGTTGAGTTTATTAAAGTATAAGAACCTACTATTATGCACTATTATCTTCTTAAAAAGAAGGTTGATGAAATTATCATTCAAAAATATTCTAATAAGATCTAAAATTCAATTTTATTATTTTGCTGACTCATAGAATTATTAATAATAAGCTTCTTTATTTTAGCTTATACATAAGTTAGTTACTATATTTTTCTAATTCTCCTTAGTTATATTAACTTAATTACTAATTGATAATATTTATCAATATGAAAGATTTGTTAATAAATTAGTTATTAATCTTTCTAATTGATTAATTGTATTGAAAAGTATCTTATTTAAAACTACAGATTTCAATACATATTACAAACAAAATTGAAATTGATATCATTAGAATATTTAACTATTTTTCTAATATAATTTTTTAACTGTATATTATGTTCATCAATATTTCATGTTTCAGGAAGAGAATAAATAATAAAATAATAAAAGATTTGACATTTATATTTGTAAAGTTTTATTGGTCTTTGGTAGACTGTAGAAGATATTAAATGAAAAAATAGATACATTTGTACAACATAAAATAATAAATTAATCAACTCTTTATCTTTGTTAAACGCATTGAATGTGCATTACATAAAATTATTTACAGTAAGAATAATAATAATGATTATAAGGTTGAATTGTAGTGATTTTGGCAGTAGAATTATGAATGATGGTCAGATAAATGGATATATCTAAATGTGAATTTAAATACACGGAGAGAGAGAGAGAGAGAGAGAGAGAGAGAGAAAGCGTTCATCCTATGAATTTTGTATAGTAATATCTTAGTCTTCTTGGTAGGAACAATTATATTATATATCTATGATCCTAATGTTGTTCGTGATTCGTGTATTTTAGTACTTAAAATTTTCCTTTTTTTCAAAAATTCTGCAACCGGAAATCAATAAGCACGAGTATTAACGACGGATTTAAGCGCTTCTATTTGAAAATCTGATTTCATCTCTAATGTTGTTTTTATAGCCCATTCACTGCATTCAATATAAAGCTGTTCTAGCTGTTTTAGAATAAACTTCTTTTTTCCATAAACTTCGACATCAAGCAGTTTTTGTCTGTTACTGAGATACGATTAACGATAATGCATATATAATGTTTTATTCATTTGACAATTAATACAATCAATATATGTTTTTTTTTATTTGAATTATTCCATTAATTTAAAACTTTCTCATATTTACAAACTACTAAAAGTATTAATCTACTTAATTGTATTAAATGCTTCGATCCAAAGTAATTAAAAAAAAAAAAAAAATATCAGTAATATAAAATAATAAAGATATATCAATAAGCCTTTGCACTTGCCAGAATAACATATATATAGTAGCAATTTCAATGTTACTATTTTAATATTGAATGAATTGTAAACAAATTACGCATTGCAATATCTAATAACTTCTGTTATTTCAATGGTATTTTAAATATAAAATTTTTCATAAATGTTTATGGCTGCATTAGATAAATATATGTTAAATGAATACAATGAACTGGTACATATTGCCAATATACAAATTTGAAATCAACATTGAAAGATAAACAGAAAATATTGATGGTGGTATAATTATAACTTTTCTGGCTCTATAATGTCAAGTGAACTGAAATAGAAATGCTGATCTCAATTCAAATTAAACTTAAAATTCCGCTAATATTACAAAATATTTTAAGACGTAAAATGTATTATTTGTAGTTAAAAATTGCATGGAAGAATATAGTTGTAGTTTTGAAAAATCACTAGCTGTATTATTATAATATATCAAATTGCAAGGAATTACAATACAATATATTTGTCACATTAGTGATGAAAGGAAATGGATTATTTATTAAAATAGTTTATCAATTTTATATATTTTAATGAAGCACGCAAAAAAACTGAAATTTTATTAATTTATATTATATGCGCAGCATTAATCTTACTCTCTTTATAAGCTCTTTGATTTATAAAATTGACCTTGTAAATTAATTTAATATGTCACGAAAGATTATTTAACATTTTTATAAATTTTTTTTTTTATCTCTCTACGGATAAAAACTATGGTCACCATACGTTGATTTAATATCAAAAAATAAAATTTCTATTTTTCTATTAAATTTATTTAAGAACAATGTTTTTTTGTTCTTATTCCCAAATAAAAAGTCAAATATAATTCAAAATAATATTCAAATGTTAATGTGTATATTTTCTTAGAGATTAACTTATTTCAGAAAGAACTACTGAATATTGTTGTATATTTAAACTTTTCGATTATATGTACAAAGAGTAAAATATTGTGATCCTTCTATCAATTTTTCATAGCTAAATATTATAATTTAATACAGCTTTATAATTTTATTTTTATATTGTATAATATTCGAATAATAAAATAATAATAATACTAAAAGTAGCATGTCTTTAATTTAATTTTGTTTATCTGCATAATTTACAAATAAATTGCATTTATATGCTTTAAACATTGTGCGTGGAAAAATAGTTAATAGTTGTAAAAGTAAAGTGATTAAATCAATGACAATAAAATAGAAAAAGGAATTATTGTACTTTCCTTTATTAACATCTGTTTGATTGCAGCTCTCTTTCTTTCGCTTTTTAGGGGAGCTACGTCATGCAACACTTAATAAAATATTTCAGGACACTTTCCCTCTTGTACGCCACTTTACCCTTGCTTAACTCCTATTATAATAATAATTTTGAACTTGATTGTCATCAATTCATCTAAGTATCTCTGATATGAAATGCAGATTAAAAACGATTTATGATAATTGAAGTCCCAGGTAATTGCATAACTCCGTTCGGATTGTACTTTCATGCAATCTAAGGTGATTTAAAATTCCTAAGTACTAATTATAAATTCATTTAAAGTATTACTGCATAATTTTGTTAAAATTTTCATATATTCCTTATGCATTCGATGAATTATATCAAATAAAAAACAGCGAATAGTAAATATCGATCACTTATATTTGTTTACTTTTTTACCTTTAAGACAAATGAATATGTACGAATGAAAGCAATTGTCAATATATTAAATAATAAAAGAAAATTACTCAAATTCTTCATGAGACAAGAAGTTGGGAGAAAATTTTCTGGAATATTCCATTCAGCTAAAAATTTGCTAAACTGCAGGAAAAGCTATTTTCGACATTAAAGTGTTAAAAGCTTTTCTTGCATATGCAATGCTTCACACCGCTTATTCACCTATCAAATATATTTACTCAAATCAAATCAAATTTCAAAGAAAAAGAAACTACAAAAATAATTATGATTATTTATTAAATTTATTTGAATAAATTTTTTATTAATTTTTGATTAAACATTATATTTGATTATTTTAAAATTTTTATTAAATATTATTAATTGACGTGATATTAATTTAAGTACAGTTTAATCAAATAAAATTATCAGAAATTATACGATCATTTACTTAATTGAAAATAATAATTTAAGTATCGATATAATAAATGTTTACAAAGTCGTAGTTGTAATAAAATTTCAAAATACTATTTAAATAAGCCTTATTATAATTCTTGTAATGTGAAATTTCATAATTTCTACAGATATTGAAAGTCGAAGAATCATTGCCAGCCCTTGATTGTGTCACCACGAAATAAATTTATCATCTTTGAAATTTTGGTGAAAAACTTTTACGAAAACTCATGAAACAACTACTGCAATTTTACAGAAAACATTAAGCACAGTGCAAATATTTATCATATAATGTATCTGAAATTATTTATCGGGAACAGTCTGCAAGCAAATTATACCAAATATCCGTTCTGTAAAGCACAGTGCAAATATTTATCATATAATGTATCTGAAATTATTTATCGGGAACAGTCTGCAAGCAAATTATACCAAATATCCGTTCTGTAAAAATTATTAATTTTCCATCGCCTCCCCCCCCCCCCCCCCCGCCATTCAACCCCAAACATCCGTATCTCCTAGCGCTCCAACTCGCATTCACTCTTTTCCTAACCAATTAATTCTCTGTCTTTACGTATGCCTATACAGATCTCTCGCTTCCTCCCACCCTGCCAGCTTCCATCCCGTATCGCACCAGATATATCAGAAGGGAAGACGGATGCGTGCACACGTACGGCGTTAACAAGGGGGCGAGAGCGACATAGGTCCACATGCGCACTCGGGTCGGCAGTCGGTCCTGAGCTACGGGCAACCCAGGCCGAGTGTGACGCGCGTAACGCAACGGCTCCTCGATGTCGTCGTCCTCGGCACCGTCATCCCCGGGCGAGACTAAAGGCCTCCGCTGCACACCAGTGCCCTCAAAGCGCTACCACGACGTTCTCGAGCACCTCAAGTACAATTTCTTCGCGGACGAGCCCCTCAACCGGGCGATTGGCCTCTGTCGCAAGGGCGAGTCGCACCAGGAGCTCGAGCGTCACTGTCTCTTTACTCTCGCACAGGGGATATCGTGCATGATCGTCGACGAAGGGGATAAGGTAGTGCGACGGCGACTTTTAGTCGCTTGGCGCGAATTTTGCCTAATAATCAAATCGCGCATTTTTCCCTCGGGCTGACGAAATATTCTCTGCCTTAGAATACTCACAGATTTCCATTACTTTTCCCTCATCGAGCAATAATAATAAACTTGAGTCGAATAACACGGCCCCTACGCGTACATTTTACACGAAAATGTCAACAAATAATTTACAAAAAATAAATCTATTATAACATACAGAAATCAGTAAATGGTCCGATAAAATAGAATTTTCACTCGTTTGGAGTGATTTTTGAGGTTATGACTTAGAATATCGTTTGAAATGTTAGATAATCCTTGGAGTGAAAAAATTACTCAAACGAGTTATATAAATGTTTTTAATAGAATTTTCATTACCATGATTTAATTGAAATATAAACGAATAAATGTAAATTCATTGTTGGCGAGATAAAATAATTTTTTCTTTATTCAAATTTTTTCAATGTTATTGAGTATATTGTGGTATGTAAACCACAAACGTTTTTTGAAATAAATACGTCACTGAAGCACTTGGATTATAAATGCAATTTTACATATTATTAAAAATATTTAATTCTAAAGAAAATCAGAATCCATGCATTACCGAACGTTATCTTTATTTAGAAAGAAGATTAAATTTTTTTAAAGTGAAGTTTTTTAAAGTTTGGATTATTAGTTTATACTAAATATTTATGCTTAATATTATGTTATGTTAATATTTTTAGAATTGTTTTCATTTTAAATTCAATAGACTAATCATTATTTCAATACAAAATTTTACGATTTCATTATAATGAATTATTCATAACAGAATATACGTTTATAACGCATATGAAATAGTAAATTAAATTAATAATTGATCGAGCATAAAACAATATATATTAATATGTAATATCGATAAAAATACATTATTAAATAAATTCTATTAAATAAAAGACTATCCTATTAAATAATAGGATAAAATTATAATTGTAAAACATCGCTGTTTATGTATAAGAATGAAATTAAACTCACAAAATGCTTAATCATTGTTAGAAGAGAAGGAAGCTAATGATTTCTAAGAAAATAGTTGATATTTATGGTTCATCTATTTCACAGAGACATACTCGCTTATAAATAAAATTAATATGTAAACATGATAAATCTCTAGTCAATTTATTACGATTGCTAACAATTTTCTTATCTGTGCATTATTTTTCAGCTTAAATTTAATAAAATGACACATATAAATTAATGATCATCGATGTAAAACTTCTGCCATATTAACAGTAAATTACTTATTTATATTGAGGAAAAAATAAAATTAAAATACAAGTAGCTTAAACAATACTATTGTTTATTTTTACGTATTTATTTCGCCAGATAATTTTTCTTTTAATTAACATTATTTAATAAATAAATTTCAATTAAAAAATCAATTAAAAATCTTTAATAAATAAATACAAACTAAATAAATATATTTCTTAGTCAATAATAATAGTTACTTTATACGTTTGGCGTTTTATAATTAACGTTATTCTAATGGATATTTATATACATATTTAGAAAACTTGAGTCATCGACTAAATTTAAATTATGTATTTCAATTACACTACACTGCAGCAATCATAAATCGATAGAAAATTATCAAGATAAATTAATTTTTTGTTTCCGTTTAAAAATGATTATATTATTCATCTAATGCATCTGCATTTTAATGGAAATACTTCATTCACTGCAACTAATATGATTTTGAAACGATCGATAAAATTACAAATTTGGCGAAATTATCAAAACCATCCTGTAATTTATATGTCAACAAGGCGCTCGCAGACCTAAAAGTCTAGCCATAAATGAAATCAACTTTCACAAAATTATCAATTACATTAATATTAAGACGTATTTTATATAAATATCAATATTAAACAGTTTATATGATTAATTTAAGTAGTAGGTCGAGTAGAGATACAAATTCAGAGTATATACTTATACTCGCTACTTCAAGCTTCATCCTCATCCTCTGTTAAAAGAAATTTTATAAAAAAATCCAATACGTTCTCACATTGATGCTCTGAAATAATTAATTTGCCTTGCCATTTTAACCTTGTCGTGACTATGAATTGCATAATAACTAGGTTGGCTTTAATTCCATTATCCCGAACGCACTGTTCGATTATAGATCGTCGGTACCGCACTCAATGGTATCGTGAAACGTGGCGAGCGCGAAGAGTGCGAGCGCCGTCTCGCTGAGCTTCAGGACGATAAATTCAAAAGCATCTTTGGACTACTTTACAAGATCAACGAGAAAGTTGACATATTCGCTAAGTACGACGTCGATGAGCTTTTCGACTGTCGCATACTGAGCGTGGATGAAACATTCAGGGGAAAGGGTCTAGCGGATCTCCTTATTAAGAACAGCCTTAAAATCGCAAAAGATGCTGGGTTTAAGGTGACTTTCATATTTTATTACATTTGTAGTTTATGTATACGTCGAGCACGGAAACTAATTATTTTTTTGTGTGTCAGAATTATTATGTATTATTGAGTATCTACTTTATCGACTTAATGTTTTAGTGTTAAGTACTTTCTGCAAATTGCTGAACTTCCGAAAGCTATTTACTGTGTGTGGCAATTGCTACGTTACTTGCAAGCTTACAATATTTTGAGCCATGACAATTTCATAAATTTTTAATTCACGAATTGATTCCTTGGAGCATCCGGCCATTGGAAATGTGTCTGGTTTACATGTATAAAGTGAAATAAAACAAAATAACCGTCATGCATATCATTTAAAATAATAAAAATTTTACAAATTGAAGGGGAATTTAATACTAATCTGAATAAATCAAATAACAAGCTATGTATACTGCAATATTATTCAGAATGTTTCATGTTTAAAGTCTTTGTTATAATGGAATTCTTAAAATTCAAAGGGATTATAAGTTTATTAATTTTAATTTTAACGAATTTTTACTTTTGATCATATTGAATAAAATTTCTAATTTTACTAAATGCAAATACTGCTATTATTTCTATATGTTAACGATTTTATTTAATAAAAAACACGTTTCTTCACTTTACATAAAGAGTTTATTATTAATGTTATATTGAAAATGTACAATCAACATTAATATTACAAATTTACTAGAAATGCTTCATCGATTAAAAAAAGAAAGAATTTATTTTACCGTGACAATTATTTATAATAATAAATGTATCGATCTTAAAATAGCACTAAATAATATTTTTTACAATATAATCTTATTGTTAGAGTAATCTTAATTTTTTTATTATGATTTTTCATTGTTAAAAAATTGTTTTTTATGCATAATTATTAAAAGGTTGTAGTTAATGAATAAAAGAAAAATATATTTATATGTTTATAAATTTTTATTGAGAATGCAAATGACTTTTAATTGCAAGACAAAATATTTTAAATATTAGTTCCGTAAAAAAATCAACGAGTTATTATATGTAAAATTTAACGGAATATTCTATAACAATTATTATTCATTCATTTTGTTATTTATTTGTAATATGATATGGGTATTACAATGGAAGTCATCTACTGCATAATATTATTTACTATAATTTTTTAATGCAATATTTATTAACCTTAAAATCTAAAAGTATTATATTAAAGTGAGAAATTAAAAGTGCTAAAGCAAATAATAACTGTATCATTAAAAAAAAAGGTAGATATTCGATGACTTGACTTGATAGAATTATCGTTATATGCTTTTAAAAATTGCATCCCAAAGAGCAATTTAATCGTATGTAAATTAAATTGACAAAAATTTACTCAATTTTTAAAAAACTAAATCATATGTTAGTTACTAATTAAATTATACCTGATTAAATGCCTAATTACATAATTAAGTATGTAGATTAAAATTATTTATTAAAAATATTAATTTAATTTTTATCAATTAATAAGCTTTAACGAGAAATATTCTTCAAGATAACATAGCAAATGAATCAAATCATCGTAAAAGCTTTCGATTATAGCATGTAAAATATTGGCATTGTACGAACATGTGTAATCAATGTGGTTCTTTATTTATCATAAAATTATTCGAAATCATTAACAATATGATAGATAATTAGTGCTTGCATCGTTACCCAATAAATTATTATGACATAACATGCATTATGCAGATCATTTGTTTATAAATATAATGTGACGCATTTTCATTAAAATTATTCGATGTAAAAAATATTAAATTTCCTTAAAAACGAGAATTCTCTATTGCACGCTTTCATTAAATTTTCATCTATCAGAAATTAATCTAAAAAAAAAAAAAAAAAAAAAAAAAAAAAATTATACAAAATGAACTTAATAAAATTATTCATGTGCAAAATGCCGACGATATAAAAATATATTTTGATATTAATTTATTATAAAATTAATATTTTACAGAATTTAATTATTATAAATGTTCAAGTTAATTAATTATTTTAAAATAATTTAAATAAAATAATAAATCTTTTAATAACAAAATCTTAAACAAATATTTTTTTTTTTTTTTAATTATTGAGGAATCTACAAAATAAAAAATTATTTAAAATTTGGTGAGCCAATAAAAAATAACATTATTTTCTGCAGCTTAGGTTGTCATTCATACTTCGTACCCTCTGATGTTTGTCTCAATAATCTCTTTGTTTCAGCATGTCCCCCTAATGTGCATGGAACTTGGATGATATTGTCATATGTTTAAATAGAAAGTCTTTCAAAAATCTACCAAAAAGCGTCTGTATCTATATCTCTTACTGTCTGTCATTAAAACTCGGTGCGTTTATCGATCGAGCTCATGTGTCATGTACTCTATAAATTTCTTGAAGTGAAACGAATATTATCCGAAGTATTCAAATAAAACTTAATAAAAAATTTTTTTTATATTCAACACATTTATCGTTAATTAAATAGATAAATTTATTATTAAAATTATAATAAAGTTCAATATGTCCATTCGCGTTATATAGTTCATTATATGTTAGCGAACAAAGAAGAAGATATGCAAATTATTCGATAAAATAAAGATAATGTTTACGAATCTGATTATAAATCTGACAGTGTAATATTCATCTTTTTTTTACGTCGATATTTAAATTTAAAAGATTTAGATCGAAGAAATAACTTATCGCTCCAAGAAATTTGAGTACTTAATGATAAAGCAAGAAATTGTCATGAACGTAACGCTTTCCCAGGTTTTCAAAGCTGATTCAACAGGACTGTTCTCGCAGAAGGCGTTTTTAAAGAACGATTTCAAGATTATAACAGAAATCCGATATTCGGATGTGGATGAAAGGCTGAGACCTGGTCCGCCCCACGAAGCTCTCAAGCTGCTGGTAAAGATTCTGGATTAGAAAGTTTATTGAAATTATATTGAATCGAAAAGTTACTTGATAAAGCGAAACAATTAATTATGAAGATAATAAATATACATTACGAATTAGATGACGTAACACTAAAGTACTATAAAGTACATTTATCTGATTCATATAAGATATTTAATTCAGCAATCTATCAATTCTTTTCCTGATTTAATCAATTATAATAAATTTGTATTAATACTTTTAAGTTATATATTTTTCAATACTTTTATAAGAAATTTCATAATTACAAAATTTTTGAGACTCTTTTAGTTCGATAAAATTGTTTCTAAATCTTGTAACTCTTATTTTTATAATAGCAGTGTTAATTTTTATATTCTCATTTTATTACTTTAAAAAAGAGCATATATATATATATATATATATATATATATATATGTAGTCATAAAGAAATTAAAGTAGTGATTAAAGAAAATAATCTATTTAAATTAAAGGTCACATAATGACTTCACATTCAAAAGGCACTACAATAAAATCTTTCATTTATTGATCATATTAAAGTCAGATATAACAAGTATTTTAAAAGAAAAATCTTTTCAAAAGTTATGATAAAGCTATTATTTCTATTACTGAAATAATAATTATTCTTGACATAAGTAAAATTCTAACTATGACGGTCATACTTTTATATATAAAAAAGTATTTGTGTTTATTGATGAAATATTTAAAAATAGGTGATACTTTATGATAAACACATTTAAATTAAAAATACATAGTTTTTATACACAGAAGTTTATTGTTTATTATTATTCATATATATAATATTTATAACATATTATATTTTATATTTTTCTCTATATATATTTGTCTTTAATAAAATCAATTTTATTGTCAATTATACATGAAAAGATATTTAAAAAATATCTAATACATTTTATATGTGTAGAATAAAATATATCATTTCAGTATTCATTTACATTAGCAAAAGAGAAATTTAAACTTTACTTTCGATTAACATAAATATTTCTTAAAATGAGAAATAATCCACCCTTTTACAATTCTTCGCTGTAGAAGGATGCATTAAAAAAAAATAATATTTATAAATTTTTTAATCATTTTTTGAATGATATTTAACATCTTAATTGCTATAAGTTATTTCTTTTTAATAGATTATATGATCATAATAAATTAATTTTTAAATTAAAGTTTTTTGTGAATATACATATACGTATGTAAGTAATACAAGTACAAATATTGATGTATTTATTAATAATCGTCGTTGATCGTATGACAATAAGAGCTCTCTAAAATTAAATAACAATCACATGTAAAAAAAAAAAATAATAATAAATACGGCGTATTAAATACATTTTCGTGTTTTAAAAGAGTTAAACCGTCATCTTATCTATTGTATAAATACAATTACACATTAAAAAATTAAGCTTAAAATAATTATGTTTAATAGTCTTTTTAAATACAGTTAATTAATTTGATAATTAATTTTTAAAGTATAAATATTTTCATTAAAAACGTTAGCAAATCTAAATATTTATTTTAAATAAAATTCGAAAGATTTTTCTAAAATACTATTTTATAAATACCGACTATTTAAGCATATTTTTTAAGAATTTATAAAATTATTTTTGTACTAATACTTTTACATAAAACTGGTTAAGCTGGTGGTTAATAAAAGTCTATCTAGCAAGCTGTTATGTGCCCAAATTATATTGTCCTTTAGTAATATTGCAATTTAGAGTTTTGATCCGTAGCATCTTAATAATTTATTTTTGTACTAATTTAAACAACAATAAACAAAAATATTTTATATTTTCACAAAATTTTTTTATTATATTTACAAATAAAAATATAATTAGTATTAAAATTGTTGCAAATGTTAATCTAGATATTTAACTGTATATTTGTCATAGTTTCGTAATATACAAACAAAGAAGCAAAGAAAGTGATGAAATATTTTCGAATTAGCCTTTCCTATAATCAATATATTTTTACACTCTTATTTTCAATTCAAAAATATTTCAAATTCTAAATTTTTTTTTAAAGCAAATGTATTAAAAATAAAAAAAAATTTTTTTGAAAATTTTTATTGTAAAAATTTTAACTCACACTTAAGAATTGATTGTAATATTTTATACTATAAATGTAAATTAATAATAGAATATATAAATACGACTTTATTTTTAAATTTAACTTATAATAATTTTATGGTGCAAAATTAAATTTTATGCCGTAAAATTTAAAGAAAAATGACATATTAATTATATTTTATCTCTTACATTTATAAATTATAAGTAATTACTAAAAGGAAAATAAAGAAAAATGTAATTATTTAATGATACAATGCTACAAAACATTAATTGCATACATTTTTGACAATTGCAGGACAATTAATGTATTAAAAAAAATCGTACCTTTTTCTTCTAATCAACGAATTTAAAGTAGCATTGCCACATTTATGTCGCACTGTATATTCAAAGAACCATTGATAAATAATTTAAAAATTTAATAGCGTAATGAAATATACTCTATTTTAAAAAATACATAAAAATGTTAATGATCAAGGAATCATAATTATATATTTACAATAAAATTTTAGATAAGTATGTCCACGAAAGTACTGTATAATAGCTCGATATTTTGTTGGCGAGAGTAGATATCTTGTTATTTTATAAAAATGTCTATTAAATAAATATTCGAGTTTATGACTTACATTTTATTAAACCCTTACCATCATCAGTATTACATTTATATCCTTGAATTTATTATTGTACTGCTAATTCAATTAATTTTTATATTTATATAATCATCACTGATTTATAATTTATTCTATTATATTATATTATAATATAATTTATTTATTCACATGTACATATTTTTTTGAACACTATTATTAGTTGCAATTATATTAAAATGTAATATTCTAAAGACGATTGACAAAAATTTATGCTATTGAAGTTTAATCGTATTTCTAAATTTTAGATCAAATTATTCTAATAAAAATAATAATTCAATATAATAAAGTATTCTTACTTATTGATTTAAGTTATTAACACGTGTTTTGAAACTTTGTTAGTTTTGTTTTTATTTTGTTTGATTTTATCAATTTTAATGATAAATTTTGAATATTATTATAGTCCCATATATTTCAATGTTAATATAATAAAAAGATTTTACAAACTGTTCGTTTAATGATTTATTTTGGATCTTATAAATGTAATATTCTTATATAAATAGTAAATAGTACCTTATAGTTAGGAAAATAACAAAAAAAAAATTTGGAACACCACTTAACATTAAACATTTTATATATTATATATGTGTGTATATTGTGTGTGTTTGCGCGTTCGCGCCGATACATACATATGTATAATTTATATTTATATTTTCCCATATAGAAGAGTTTATGATAAACGATTTATTAATGAATATTAATAATTAACAGAATTTTCTAAATAAAGAAATACAATATTCTTTATTCACCAAATAGATATGAATATAAAAATTATATTAATATCAAATTACAAAATATTTTCATCTATATCTAATTTTGATCAGATTCTGTTATAATATTATTATATTACAATATTTCAATAGCTTCGATTAAAGTACATTTTCAACTTTAAAAAAAAACACATGCATTTACAAATACATTGTAAATACATTACAGTTAATACAATATTTGACATTATTTGATAGTAATACAAATAATTTTAAAAATTTATTTGTTGACGGAAATAAGTTTGCAATTTATTCGATTTAAAATTCAATTTGGTCGAGTATTTTTGTTGAATCCTTTGCATATACCTGATATCAATTATCTTTTGTTTAACAGCTTCCCGCTGAGTTCCAGTCCAACCCAATGATCGATACATTTTCAAAACCTTTTTTAACTTTTCAGTCTTTGGTACAGCTAATGCACGATTTGGATTCAGACTCTGTTTGTAATAACGCATAAGTGATCGATGACCAATAACTGAACCTGATGGTAAAACTATTTGATATTCTGTGTCATTCAATACCGGAATTTCTACTTCTTCGTTAGGATCTGATGTTTCGTTATCCGGATAGCTAGATGAATAATCATAAAAATCTGTATATTCTACCAATGCTTCACCCTCGTGTAACATTTTACAATGACCTTTGTCCAACATATGAGCTCTTACTGCGTCTGCACTTCTAAAGGCTTTGCCTAAATTAAAAAATAATTTTAATATTACGTTTGAATGTCATTAATTTTAAATTCAAATATATTATCTTTAAAATTAAAGATAAAATTATTTATAGAATAAGATATAGTATCCACTGATAAAATATATTATGTCTATGTAGATGTATTTATATATATTAACTTTATTTTAAAAATATTTAATTAAAACAAGTTCACAAATGTTATTGCAATCATTTTTATAATAAAATAAATAGTAAATTGAATTTTTTTATTACCTTTATTGTTACACCATATGCACATATAACCAGCAAAAATTTTTTCTCCTAAGTAAATAAGTAAACCTCTGATGTCTATACAATATTCAGGATCAGGGATAAAAAAAGAATGTTCTAATGTCATATGTTTTAAATTTCGTACCCAACTTTTACTATGGTGACTACAAAATAAGCAATTATTACTAATAACAGGATTATCTATAACTTCAACCCATTCATCGGAGTCAACTGAATCGGTATCCGAATCCATTTCAATATCATCAACAGAGTCATTACTATTTTCATTATTTTTCAATTTTGTCAATGGTACAGAATCAACAGAATGAACAATTTCTTCAATACTACTTAGCATTGGCTCATCCTCATTTAATGAAAGTGTGGTATTTATTTTAAGACTCTTTTCTTTATGTTTTTTGGATACTAAATGATTTTCATATTGATTTTTTGTATTAAAATGTTTTCTACATATTTTACATGTAACACTTTGTACTTCGTTCACTTTATCTGCTATACCATGGATTGCAACTCTTTTTTGAAATTCTTCGACCGTAACAGGTGGATAATCAATAACTTTTCTTTTTAAGTTATAGCGATGCCAATCTGATTTGTAATGTTGCCTTTGTATCTCTAAGTTGTGAAAGGCTAAGCGACATGTTATACAGGTAAAGAGCGATGTCATTTTTTAAATACTTTATTATGTATTATTTAAAACCATTCAGAAAAGATGAAAATTTAAGCAATTATAAATGCTGCTTTGATAGATGAATCCAGGCTTAATAATAATAATAACTTTTATTACGTAAGTGTCTTTAATTAAATAATCTGAAAAGTAAGTTTAACCTTAATACGTTTTTATCCACCCAATACATACAGACTTAACACAAATTATATCGATTTATTGAAATAATCTATAACAATTTCAGAAATATTACTGATGAAAATTTTAAATAATTATCTTTTAATGCACTATTCTTATTAATCCAAATTTTCTTACAATAGTAAAAAATGTACAAAAAAATATCATTTAAGATTATATATAAGAGTAACGTGACTAAATGTGTTACTTAAAAATTCAATAACAATTAATTCGTTCAAATGATAGGAAATAATTAATTCTTTATAAACATGATTATTAAGGGATAGCAAAAATAATACAAGCAAAAATTTTACTTCTAAACCAAACGTTTTTGTAAATATAAAATGTACTTACAAAATTTAAATATCTGAATATTATGTGCGAAGTACTTCTTAATACTTGTTCACAAATGTAATAAATTTTAAGGTTATACGGAGCATTCAAGCGATCCATTCATAAATATTAAAGATTATATGTATCTCAAATAGAATTAGACAAAACGAAATTCATTTGAATGGTTATTTTTAAATAAAAAATTCAATTTATCTATGTACGTATACTATAAGTAAAAAAATTCCATTTATATTTTCGAAATTATGTCAATATAGTTTTCAATATTTAAAAAAATAAATATTCTATGTTTAAAAACAATTTAAAAACTATTTATTTTAATAACATTTAAAAACTAAAAAATTTTAAATATATTTCTCAAAAGTATTAATTGACAAATAATATTTAATGATGTATTCAAATGAAAGGAAAATTTCTACTATTTAATAGCTTTTAATAAATAATTGATTTTATTTTTCAAGCAATTGAAAGATCTAGGAACAATATCTTCGATATTGTTTAATAAATGCATTAAAGCATATTATTTATTTTTCCTTTAATATTTATTTACTTTTATTACTATTCGAATTAGTTAATAAAATGATATGTTCCAAATATATTGCCATATTACGCATCAGCAGTCGTAAATTGATCATTAATTACAAAATTCTACGTATTATGTTTGAGAGAGTTTGCCAGGGGACGTTGAAATTGTCGCTGGCCGACGGTAATATAGTATCCCAAAAAACCTAATTGAGATATTAAAATATGATATGCATCAAGTTACATTTGGAGCTCCTTCAGAATGAGATATCACTTGTTCTGATGTATTTTATCTCTTTTCTTATCTTCATCCCTAGCATAGCGTTCCTACTCATGCATGGACATAGTCGCATCAATGACCTTTTTCAAAATTACCAATATGAAAAATTAATCTATATCTATTAATGATATTGATTTAGTAAAGTATTGAGTACTGTATTTCAAACTCATTGAAACATCTTTTAATAAATTTGATATAGGAGATGTGTATCGAAGAGATAAAACAATTTAACATTATATATTTCCATTTTTTAAGTGATAAAACAATTAAAAATTGTGGAATGTCTATATAGAAAATATTTTTGCATTGTATCAAGAATAATTGTATTTAAATTATTAGAGTATTTTTACAATGCAAAAGTAATTAAATTGTTGTAGATATTTTATAGAAAAGTATAAGCAAATAAAACAGCACCGATTAAAAATATTATACGCATTTTTTTCCTTCAAATTAATTAAAAAACGTATTTTACGACAAACAAATCCATTGATGCCTAAATTATGTAAAAATTATGAGTAGAATAAACGTTTTCCTATCTTTAATAAAAAATAGTTAATAAAGCATAGTTAATGTTTATTTTTATAGTAATAATGGACGTAATTATATATAGTACTGGAAATTGAGAAATTTTATATTAAAATAATAAATCAAATGATTAAACAAAATATTATAAAAATTTTATAGTTAACGAAATCCCATAGAGATTTGACAATGAATAAGAAAAAAAAATTGAAGATAGTAAAGATGAAAAATTGAAATTAATTTAAAAAATATCTGTTGAATAATTAAACAAAAACAAAAAAACAAAAAAAAACATATATATTAACTTGGAAAATATTTAGACAAAATTTTCATTTAAATTTTTTAAATAAATAGTATGATTGTTTTAAAGCTTTATATAGTTCGCATGAAATTGTCAATAATTTTCAAAATATTCAAGTTTGTGAGTGAAAATTTAACAAATTTAAATACTTTAAACAATCAAGCTGTATTCTCACAATATTGAATTGCATTTCAATGAAGTATTCGATAATTGTGAATAACTTATTGGAGATTCAATATTAAATTCTAAATTAGCAATACTTCAAACTAATATTTACCGATGAATATTATTTATGACCTCCAAATTCATATAAATTTCAACTGGATATTTGCGACTTAACTGAAATATTTATACTTCGTTTCATTTTCTTCATTCTTTTTAATAGAATATCAATTAATAAGTATCTAATTTCTAAGTCTAACAATTTAACAGCGAAAGTTCATTAATTAATAAGATCAATAATTACATTATTTAAAAATAGATATTTTAATTTTTTACGAATTACTTAATCTACGTAAATTATTGACATTTACATGTGTGCAATACTAATGAACTACATTTCTTGCTACTTTATAAGATTACAAATTTCATGCGCACATATTGGAGTATTAATTGATCGTACTTTATTTAAATACTTAAATCTAATGAGCAATATCTGAAACTTACCTATTCTATTATTTTTCACATCGTACGTATTCACTTAAACAACATATATGATTATACACATATAGTTTTCATACAAATATTATTGTATATGAAATTGTTGGATGTGAATTTAATGTGAATGTAAAATTAGAATTTAAAAAATAAAAATGTAATTTATTGTAAGTACGCGAAATTTAATAATAATGAGGTTCTGTAAGTGTTGTTATTTTTAAATGTCCTAAAAATTATTAGATAAGGAATTTTTATGCAAAATATGAAAAACAACTCAAAAAACATATTGAAACAGGCGCAAGTTTGAGAGCGGAAGTATAGAAAAAAAAGTATCGAGAATAAACGTTATGCCGTATACAATGAAGAATTAATTATAAAATATTTCGGCTATTTTCAATTTGCATTTTAGAATATGATTTTATTTAATTATATATTCAATTAAATTATATCCCTTTTATTAGATATTTTTGCTTTTGTATGTTACTGATATGAATTAAATTCAGAGCACTACACCAGTGTACGAAAGTCGGAAATAGACAACGAATGAAACTTGTAAACTAGAAATTCACTAAAAATTTTGCACGTTAAAATATTAAGTTAAGATCGTTTGGAAATATTTGTACTTGAACATTTAAATTTCATATACGTTACGAATATAACAATATCACAGCAATAAGAACATTATCTCTACACATTGATAAAGTGGGTACCAATTTTATTATATACGCATTACTGAAATACTTCTTTTTACATAAAAATAAAACGCAGCTTTTATTCGTACTCTAACCCTACATATGTTAAATGGTCTACGAGATTAAAAATATAAGTTTATACAAATATATTTTAAAGACTTGATGGAAAAATGCATATTTTTGCATGTTCAAATAATATTTTTCTGCATCATATTTTAGATCCGCACCTAATAAAATACTAAAGACGCAATTTAAAAAGCTAACGGATTACATTTGTTTAACGCGAATACACGACACATCGGGTCGTCACGCCTGATCATCAGAAATCTACCATTTTGTACTTTTTTTCCAACTGAGAGGTATATCTTACTTTTTACATATAATACATAGGAATGAATGGGCACAAACGAGAAAATAATTATTAATTGTAATTACTCTATTGGTAAATATTTTATCCACGTTTTATTGTTAATTGGAACAATTTAAAACCAACGTCATTTGATTATACATAAGATATCGATGGCTTTGGTCTGTTTTGATAAATAATATGAATAGTAAGTACATAAGTGGACACACCAGTTATTATTTGATCATTTTTGGTGAATGTTACCTATAATATTCATATTGTAATCTGATTTTACGTAATTTTAATTCGTACAAAAAATAATTTTGTGCCTAAAATTTATTGAAAATATTTGCATTAATATTAAAGTTTCTATTATAAATTTTGAAATGCCTATTTTACTTTTAAAATATTTTAATAAATTATTAGATTATCACTTAATTATCACTTAATTCTATTATTTGAATACTCTAATGCAATTATTTAAATTAATTTCTTTATCGAATTATTAAAAAAAAAAATTTATTTTTATTTGGAAACATATGTGAATTGTTTTAACTAATTAATATATCATTTTAGCAAATGAATAATTTTATAAAATATGAATGTATTTTGAAAACAAAAAATAATATATCAAAATCGAAGAATTTTTTATGTAGTCTTAATTTATTTACAAATTTTTTAAATATGTTAAGCTGTGTTCTACCAATTTAGTTTTTTATTTTACAATTTATCATCTAAGAGTAATGTATAGTATAGAGTAATCTATACTAGTAGAGTAATCTATACTACTAATAATAAGTCTATAGAGTAATGTATGTATACATATTAATAATTTACTTTCTATTAAAGTTTTTTTAAAAACTAGAATGGAATTATAATGTTGATATTGCTAAATTACTTAAAATATTAAAATAATTGATGAAAAATATTTATACAAATATAAGTATTGATAATTTATGAATGAATTAATTAATTCCTAATGAAATGTAAAATTGTACACACATACGCACACGCATACACACATATTTACACACATATATATATATATATATATATATATATATATATATATATATTAATGATTAATATCATATACACATATCAATAAAAATAGGAAAAAATATTTATTTTTATAATTACCTAACAAAATTTCTATAATAAAATATTAGTAGATAAAAAATAATCATATATTTAATTAATTCTTGTAATTTATTACAAGTAATTATAAGTAATTGATTTCTATTATTCTGGAAACATCTTTCGAAATCAAAAAAGAAACACAATCATATAAAATTTTTAATAAAAATGTTACAATTTAAAAACTAACGATTCAATTTTATTTTGTATAGCGATACTTCTCATAGCTTTGGTAATTTGTTGATTTAATGTTGGATATAAATTTAGTTATATTAATTTATGTATTTCTAATAAAAAAACACAAACAAACAAACAAACAAACATACTATACTTTACAGGTATTTAATTTTAATGGGAGAAGCTAGAAGTTGCCTACGAACATGACATTTAAACCTAGTTACATGATCTAAAAATTATATTTCATAAAAAATAGCTAACTTTTGAAATACAGTACGTAAAAAGCGGTTGTATATATTAGAATATGAAATGACACATTTTACTCTCCTTATTTTTAGCTATTATTGCTCTTTTATAAAATGAATATCACATTCTCAGACACCCTTATATATTTTTTATTGAACCAAGAAAGTACAGCTAATGCATAATATAATTTACAAAAAGAACAAAAATTGATTTTGTTGATGTAAGATACGTAAGATAGAAATAATGCTGATAATTAATTTGAAGAGGATAAACAAGCGATATACTATGACAAAGATTTTTATTAAATATTAAACATTCACCATTTCATTCCTAAACCATGAATTAAAATTTACATTTGCTTTTAAATACCTCCAAAATTATAATACGAAGAAAACTTTATTAAAATAGTACACACAAATATTTATTATATTTCTATTTAACTTTAAAATAGAAATTTTACTTGCAAATTTGTAGCACCATTTCGATAGATTTTTATTTAATTATACAAAAATTAATTATATAATTATATAATAATTTATGTACTATTTTAGCAATATTTATAAAACGGATACATAATACAAGTATACTGAGTCAGAGTAAACGCGCAAGTAGATAGATCGATCGCATTTCAAGAACATAAGTGATATAACTGCAATACAATAGTAGTATGATAATACTTATCAGTGCAATTAAATCAATCGAGAAAAAAATATAATAATAATTTTTTTTATTTAATTAATAAGGAACGAAGTTGTTAGAAATTATTTATATTTTCCACGCAATTAAATAAAAGTGGTACGTACATATTACAAAAGTTACGACAATCTTGGATAATAATAAAACAAATACACAATATAAATGCATATTATACTACAATTTTAATCTAGTTTAATAATTTTATTCGTCAAAATAATTATTGAAATAATTTTTAAAAAAAATTGTATAAAATAAATTTCATTATTTCACGTTATACTTATGAATTGCAGAACTATGGTCATTATCTTAAAAATTAACCACTTAATTAATAATTATTCCTATTAAAATATCAAAGTTTGTTTTTAAAATAACAAATGTACAGTATTGACATGATACAGAATTAATGGTGATCATTGCGCACGCGCCAATAGTTGAGACAGGGCAACATTAGTTAAATTTTACAAATAAAAAAATATTGATTACTCGAATTTTACAGTTAGTAAAATAGCCATTAATATATTCAGAATCAAATAATTAGATAAAAAAATCAGTTTATGTTCTTAACTCCCGAAGCTGTATTATCAAACGCATTTGACGTAGAGAAAAACATAACGCCTATAATTATTTAAATCTAGTTTATGCAATTTTATCGGTCGCAATTACAAAATCCTATAATAATGCAAATAATGTATTTCCAAGAGCTATTCTCATAACGGTAGCTTATGCACGATCCTTAAAATTAGTTTACGTTACACATGTCGTTCTCTCCGCTTTTATTTTACAAAAAAAAGAGCTACGCCGCCGAGTGCTCTCCCGCAGTCATACTTTGAGCTGTGATATTTTAAAAGACAAAGGCAATCGCATGCTAGACGAGCGAGACAGCGCATACGCGTAAGTACATGCATAGAGCCAGCCGCATTTGCATACTGTGTTGCTTAGTTTAATATTAGCTTATAGTACAATAATACAATCCTATTATTACAATTCCTTTGATTCGAGCAAATGAAAAGGATTTTTCCAGCATACATAGGTTTTTTGTTTTCAAACTCAATCACGTAATTCGCATATTTCGATAAGCATATCTATATATATATATATATATATATATATAGAGAGAGAGAGAGAGGTATGCATGCATGTTTTTACGTGTATGCGCATAGCATGTAATACACGTACGTAACACAGATGTAATGCGTGCGTATCATGTATGTTCATCGGCGCGCGCGCGCGTATGTGTGCATACGTATATATTTTCCGTGAACGCACGGAAACTTTCCATCGAGGCGCTTAGCAAACAAAAGAGTGAAAAAAGGCACTCAGTACAAGCTAGGAACTCAGAGGACGAGTTTCGGATTTTCTCGTTTGTTAATCACGAATTCATTCGCTTTAAAAAAGAAGAAGCATTTGAACGCTACAGCCGTTTTTCATTTATTGTCATTTAGCAGATCATTAAGGAACATCAGGTAATATACGAACGATATAACCTGTAAACAGCGAAAGAATTTGCGTGATAGGAAGTGCGCGAGTCAGGAAACAGAAATTAGTTTTTTTAAATATATATATACGCGCGCGTGTGGGGTGGGCGGGTGTGTGTGTGTGTGTGTGTGTGTATGCATGATGCAAGAATATATATATATATATATATATATATATATATATATATATGCATATATGTTTAGATAAAAAGTACTAATACTAATGAAAAGAAATATATAGAGAAACTAAAGATTTGTTATTTTAGTAATACGTTTGGTATCGTTTTTGAATATTGGTATAATTTTTGCCTAACATTAAAACTTGTGAAGCTCCAATAGTAAATTGGTAGTATACGAATAAAATGTTTTTATATCGATTGATTACACACGTTCCTGTTAAACAGATTACGTTGCATTAACTATTTAATGAATTAACAACATTTCTATAATAAAAGTAAATAGCATTTTATTCGATTGTATATTGCCTAAATACTTATTCGCATTATAAGAGAAATAAAACAAAAATGCTTTATTAGATTCTAACCCTATTTAATAAATGTTTTTTGTACTACACTAGTGTAGTAAATAAAAAAAAATCTATACATTTGGCTTATTTTAACTCAATTAGTATATCATTTACGGCCCAAACAATATTTCACTATATCCTATTTTAGATCTGCGTCCAGTAGTGCATCAACCCAGCGAAATCTGCGAGAATTGAGAAGTAGCAAACGGATCGCAAGAGGCGATCCATCTGTTTAAGCACGAGCATCCACGAGGGACACGTCGGATTTTCACGCCAGCAAGTGGCCGTCCAGCAGGGCGCTACCATTTTATATGACTTTTCTCCGACAACGAGGTACATATTTTATTTTTATAATACATTTTTATAATTTTAATGATTATTTACTCAATCTTATGTGTGTAACATATAATTCAACGATTATGTAATTAGCGATACATATAATTTAATGCAGAATTTTTATTAGCTAATAGAGGAATATTTTATTTAATAGAACAATGAACAATATAAATGATTGCTTAAGTTTATCTAAATTTATTTCACATATACAACGTGTATTTATGACTTACATATTTTTTGAATTATACAAAATTATGTTATATCAACATTAGTATTAGTATTTATAGCTATTTATAAAAATATCGTTGGATTTAGTTTTGAAACGGTCGAAATTAAAAAGATTTAGATAATAATTAAAGATATTATTATTAGGCAATAATAATAATAAAATGTATACAAAAATTTAATCTTTACTATTAGTTTTTCACAAAGAAAATGCTAGAAATGTTAAAGGGAAGTCAGTTTTTCATCTAATATCACAGATGATATTAATATTGTTTAAGAATTGTTATTTTTTTGACAAATTTTTTTTATTTAGTCTATTACAAATATGTTAGTGAGTTGCACTTCACATTATACACGCACAAAAAACAACTATTAATTACTTTTATTTATTTACATATTTGACCATAATAATAATAAACCATAATTCAATAATACAATGTATTGATTAAAATTGTATAGTCAATATATTCCTATATGAATGTAATTAACAACGTACAAATATTTAGCAAAATAATTTTTTTAATTAAAAAAATTTTAAAAATCTAAAACAGTTTGTGCAATAATTCAATCTTTCGATATAAAGGTTATAAATGATATGTAAAATAATAAATAATTCAATTATATTTTTGTATGAAAAGTTTTATAAGAAAAATGAAAATATAAAACTGAACGGTTTATGTTAAAAAAATATTAAATTTATTGCTTTCATAGATGTTTTAAAGTTATAACTTTGTTAATTAATTTAATGTATGTCATTTTATTAGTAATTTAAATGTTTATTAAAAATCATCGTTTAATTTACTTCTATTATCTTCATCTGATGTTTAAGAAAATGTTTTACTGCTTATATATTAATTTAAGCATATTCTAAATGTAAAGTATGATTTTTGCATTGATTTTAATAATTTATTTTAATTATGTATTCAAGTTTTATTTTATTATACATAAATTTCAAATCACTGAAAGTTTGTGTATGCAGAATAATGCACATAGTAAAATAATGTTATTGATATACATGAAATTTATGGTAAATGTTTTTATTAATATTTATTTACATTTATTTTTATCCATAACAAATATATGCATTTTTTATGTATCTAAAAATCAACATGATGTTTTTAAAACATACATCTCATATTTTATAATTGTAGTACTCCATTGAAATCACATCAAAATACATTATATCTTTATAACTAGGAAATAGATTAATACATAAGATATATTTAAAGATTATAGTTCAGACATTTAAGCATATTCATACTTTTATAAAATTACACATCCACTCTACGCACTAGTTTATTTTATTTTCGTTACGTACGTGCGTGAAGTAAAATTTAAGTGTTTCATTCCCGCAGAAGTGAATTTGAGAAATAAATATTATAATGTAAAATGTGTATAGGTCTATATATGCATCTATAAAACACGAAATACAAAGTTAATAATGGTAAATCCGATTGTGTAGCTGCCAATAAATAAATGCAAATGGAAAAAATAATACATACTGCAAGTACAAAATATGTTTTATCATGTATTGTAGAAATTATTTCGACTGTTATTGGATAGAGAACTCGTTTTTAGTACTTAAACATTTATTTCTACATATAAAATATTTATTAAGGAAAAAATACATTTTAATAAAATAAAAAATATAATATCAATTTTAAAGCATAATAAATTGTTCGTTTCAATGACCTCTAACTAATTAAAATGAAAAAATTATTTTCAAATACGTTATATCATTGCTATAAAGAGACCCAAAATAAGTAATAAAAACTTGGATAATTTCTATGAATTAATGATCAGAGAAATATATATATTTACACTTATTATAAATTTTTATAATAAAAAAAATCTTTTAAATCTTCAATATTTATAATAAAATTGTGTGTGCGGTGATGTAATAAATAACAATCATATTTTTTATAAGTTGTGCTTTGAGAATTAGCAATTGTAAAAAAAAAACTTTCTAACAATTCAACTATTCATTTCAAATAATATTTAATGTAATATATATTTTTATTAATTTTTAACGATATTTCACTAACAATTAAATTGATTATTGTAATTTATTATAAAACTTCTTTATATCAATTACATGGGAAACAGATAATTAAATATAAATGAATTAAATGTCCATTTGTTAGTTATTTAAATAAACTAATATGTATACAAGAGAATTATTTTCTAAAATTTTAATTTTTATTAAATGTGATTCGAAATTTTTTTTGAAAATAAAAAAATTTGAAATATTTTATAAAAATTCTTTTATTTACGTACCCATATCATTTGCGTATCATGTTATTTATTATACTTGCTGGATTATATATTTTTATATAAATATAATAAATAAAAGTAATTGTTTCTATTAAATATCAATATCAGATAAAAGCGTGCAAATAATCTAATAGTATGTTTCATCCATAAAAAATAATTTTCTGAATTATCTCTGAAGTATGGTGTATGATAATATACAATGACACAATATCATGTTCGTTTTAAAAATTATCGCAATTTCTCAACAACTTTAATATAAAAAAAATGAAACTGGTTACGAAAAATAAATGCGTATATGCGATAAAGTCTTTCATTGTGTGCATATAATAATTTCAATATTTCTCTACCTAAATGGAAGGAATTAATTATCAGTACTCATAAAAAATGAGTATGCATAGGCAATAAAATTACACATTATATATTTACTACGTTGAAGAGGTTCCAAAGTTTTTTTATTTGCGGTTATCTTAAATTAGACTCTAAAATGCGATAATTTTATAACAATAGCACGACTTAAATAACCTGCGTCAAATTGCACCAAAAACTCATTAAATAACTACTCATTCTACATTACCAATGCGGCAATTTGCAGCTTTCTTTGCGACCTTTTGTCACATTATTCGTACATTTGATATAGAAATCTGAAAATGGTTATATATGTGCTATTGCGGTATTATCGATCCAGAAATTTATATATACAACATTTCATAAATTTTTAAAGCTTTTACACTTAAAAATATAATAAATTGATATAATTGCAAATAATATTTAGTCAAAAGTATTGTTTTTTTATTACGTAATTTTTTTAAGTAATCATCGTTAGAAAGTTAACTTATAATCCGAGTGAATGAAAAGTAAGGGTTAAAATATTATTTTAGATTACATTAACATTAAATAGTTATTAGTAAATGTGTATAACAAATTGACTGATTGTCACTGACATTTTAAAAATAATCCGTTAAATAATTTTACATTATAATACTACTTGGGTTAATACTATACTACGGGTATAAAATTGTTTGATATTGAATAAATATTCTGAAATATATTATAAACTTCCAAGTTCATAATTTTTTTATAGTCACTATAAAAAAATTTGTAGTTTCAATAGTAATAATACACAGTAAAATTTATAATATTCAAATTGCAATAAATTCATATTTTTAATGAATCTGTAATTATAACGACAAATTAATAATTTTGTTTAATATACAGTTGATTTTTTTTTTATTACATTTTTTATAAATCTGGTAGTCGTGAAGCTACAAGCTAAAATATAATAAAATTAAAATATAATCATAAAAAATATTTATATCTTTATTTTAAAAGATTTAGAATCGGACATGTGAATATTTTTATTTTATTTAATTGTTATTCATAAATTATATTATAATGCAACACAAAGTAATATTATAAAACGAATAACTCAATAAATATAAAGAATAAATTATCATTAAGTTTTCTTTTTCATTTCGCTTCTGCTTTTGTAAGTAATAACAAATAACTCACTGTAATAATTTAACAATTTTAGTTTATAGAAATTTTATTATAATCTATTACACTTTGGTTATCTTCTTTAACAATTGCTTAATTTTGACTATTTAAATATTATCTGATGATTATTCATTGAAACTCATTGAAATTCATTATATCTTTTACTTTGATAATTAAACTATTCATTAAAAATTCTCATATGTAATTAAGATAAGTTACAATTATAAACATTTACAAAATGGTTTTTCAGTGCACTTTTAAAATATGGATATATATATATATATATATATATATATATATATATATATATTTATTTATTTATTTATAGTATTAGAATTGTTTTTAAGAGTGTACATGTGTGTCGATAATTGTTTTAAACAATTGAAAATATAAGTTAAAATAGTATAATATATTATCATGATAAATAATAGACGTCAATGTATTATTTTAATGCATGTTTTAATTATTCATGATTTGTCAAAATAAATACATATATATTTTATATGACTTATTTTACGTTTACAAGTTAGTATTTAATGAGAAATAGATATTGATTTACATAAAATATTATTCAGTTTAACAATATATATATATATATATATATATATATATATATATATATATATATATTGAAGATAATTATACATTTTACATGTTTGAATATTTTATTCAAAATCCAAAACAAAATGTGTGAAAAAGATACTGTATAATTTTTAAAGAACAAATTATGTTTTTATATATGATACTTTGTGATGGAATTATACTTTATATATAATTTTTAATTTATCGTCATGCGTAATCAATTAATAAATAGAGCAAGACTTCCTTTCTTGGTTTCGCGAAACTAGAATAAGTGGTACATTCCTATCATTATGAATAAAATTATTGTATTAAAAATTATTTATATACTTATAATAGTTTTATTTTTGATATTATTTAAAAGTAATAAAATTGTATTGAAAACGTGTGGTAGAATTTTTTTGATCGAATAACAACAATTTATC